AATTCACCTGTATTGAAACTATTTTAAATTGAAGGTGCTTACATGCTGGGTATGCCTACTGCTCTTCCGTAAGTGTATGAATCCTCCCTCTCATGAGTGAGAACCGGTGCAGCAACGTCGCAGCATATAATTCTCTAGGATTCCCGTAGTTCGTCATTAGTACTTAAAGGCACAGTCCGCGACTACCTGAGTGGAATGTTCGAAGCTGATGAAGGGGTGCACCGATGCTAGTGGAGCCAATGCCTGTCAACCCTGTACCAAAAGACGTTTTGGTAATGACAGTTTCATTCCGTGAACTTTGGGGAATGCACCTGCTCGGACGATCCTGCTGCTCTCTGCGGCTCTCTGACCTCTACTCTCTCTCGCCCTCTCTTCGTTGAAATCTCTAGACACGCTCTTTCTGTTGTACTAAAAGCTGTGGGATAGTCTAAATCAACTGGAAAGAAGCCTTATTCTAGGGCATTTTTGACACTTTCTTCTAGATCTTTCCTGATTCCAAGGTCACGCAGCACACCTACCGTGTCGTAGAAGTCCCACTAGCCGCACATTGTCATTGCATACTGAGTCCTTGAATTCGTTAGCTCCTGAGCCAAAAATTTTTGAAAGTAACCAACCTAAGCTATCTTACGGCCCCTTTTGTAACCTGTATTTTTTCGTTTACTTTGTTTTTTCGTGTCCGAGCGTTCGAATGGGGAAAGTTTAGTCAGTCGTATAATGTATGCTAATATGAAGTACAATTGCCTAATGTTTGTAGAGGAAAGGCGCTTTGCTCACGAAAATCCTCCCAGTAAATTCCTTGCATTCACCGGAGAACATAAGTATTTATAAAGTTTGAAGAGAGTCGCGCAGTGCACTTTTAATATTGCGCAAACAGAACTCGAAGGGGGATTGGAGCAGCGGCATGGCTGTGGGAATACCAAGCTCGGCAAGAATCTGATCCCAAGTTCAATCCCATATGGAGTGCAACAGTGATCAGGTCGCGGTCCGATCATCAGTAAATATTTGATGACCGATGGCCGCCGCGACTGAACGGGCGTGGTGGCCGGCCGGCGGGCGTGGACACGGGTTTGCTTTTTGCTCGGTCCTCTGTTGTAATCAGCTGAGATGTTGACACGAAGAGCACGAAAAGCAAATTTTGGCGCCCGGGTGCGCGAGCCCTCACGAAGATCGCCCGCCCCCTTGGAGACTGTAAGGGCAACACCTGAACACATTTTTTCATTCCTTGGCCTCAACGGGCACTTTTTGGCCAGCCACCCAGAGTTTTTGACCTATTGCCAATGTCTTGGAAGACTTTTTCATCCTTATCAATAAAATGATAATCACACTTCGAAGGAAATTCTTCGCCTTTCTGAGCTTAGTCATCTCTTACTCATTTTAATTAAAGGAGCCATGTTTTCCTTTTCCCAACTAAATTGCTTCTATCCCTTGCTTTTATTAGAATTTGGTTGTATAAAAGGGCCTGGAAATCAGTGCCAGGGAGGTTCTTCTAGGTTTTCACGACAGCCAACTTTTACTTTGAAGTTTTTCTTTGAAAAACGGAAATGTGATCTCTCCCCACTCTACCGTACCCTCTGTTTGCTGGTGGTTCCCATAGGGAAGGCGAAAACGTTTTTTAAGTGTCAACAGGCCCCGCCCTCCGACAATCAAGGCGACTATACGTCATGATGATAGCCCTGATTCTAAGAGATAAAAGGCGCCAAGGGAGCTGTTGTCATGAGATGTTCTTAAAGAGTGCGATGTCTGACGGCAAGTGCAACTCATTATACCCCAGGAATGGTTATGCCCCGAAAACGGAAGAAAATGGAATTCTCCGGATATTGCGAAAAATTAGCGCTACCAAGCAAAACGCCTTCGTCACGAGGATACTGCATTCGTTTACTAAGACACGTGAATTTTCCTACATTGGATCTCTCTTTGTCGATCTTATCTATTCATAAGTTGCGTCTATGTCCAGGGCTGTTTAGTAAGACCCCCCCCCCCCACTTTGTCTTGCATAGATCGGATGTTCCCCCAGGTTTTCGCCTTTTCAGAAAAATGGAGGCTAAGCTTGGCTGACGTAAGTTTTCACCCGGCGAACCCTGTCCGTAACCAATGAATCCTCCAAACATAAATTGAATTCAAAAGATTCAGAAACTAATAAAAGTTCGACTCGAAGGGTTAGGCAGAATTGAACCCGGCGAGCTTAGGGCAGGAGCAAGATGCTACGGCCTTTCTCAAAAGTTTGACATCGTATGTGTCGAACACCCCCAAACGGGTCCTAGTGCGGAAGGTCGATTGGAATGACTTTTACGTTCAAGGATATCGCGAATTGTGAATCCCGATTTCCTTCTTATCTGCGCCCCGCCACCCATTACCTCTTCTCCTACCCTTCAGCATCTTATGGAATGAAAGGCAAGGCTCCGCTGATTGTTAGTAATAGTATCGTAAGGGTTGCCCAGAGAAAGCGTGGAAAGGAGGCCGTATTGGGCCTGGTAATGCTTATCGCCAGCTTTACCCTTATGGGACTGGCTGAAGGTAAGCGGCTGCTACTCGCAAATTTGTCCGCGGAATCGAATTCCCGGATGCTCATGCCCAGTCTACCGAATCTTTTCCATCGAGGTCCTCAAGCGGGAAAAATGATAGGGAGGAACTTGTGTCAGTGTTTTGTACGAAAAACTATTGTATTAGCAGATTACCTAAAAGTAGGGGCGATTTTGAACTGAAGACGCATGCATGGCGCATCCCACCAACTATCGCTTGGACTGCCCAACAAAAGCCGAGAATTTTCAATTTTTCTAGAAGGTGGGAGATGCTGATCCTTTTTCAGTCCAAAACTCGCTACCCTAACCAGCGCCTGAGCCCCCTTTCTACCAACAATAATAAAATTAAATATTGATCCATGTTTCTTTTTATTCCATCGGCTATCGGGCTGTCACATTTCATGACATGGCTTATAGAAAATGAACTATGTCGTTTATTCAGTGACGGTTATCCGATTACTTATGTGAATTCTTGTCTTTGTTTCCTCATCGACTGTCTGGCCGAGGCGATTGGAGGCTTCTTCTGGTCGGTCGAGCTTTTAGAAACACTCTGCCGACGCTATTCATTGCTTCACCCATTGAACAAAATCATATTTACACTCGATCGTTGCAATTCGATAGCGCCTTGAAATCCTCCGCCGAGAGATTTCTGGCTCAGATCCAACTTTTTCGCGTCCACTCTTCAAAGTTCTTCAGAATTTTTTGTGAAGTTTTTTGGCATGCAGCCAATCGCATAGAGCCGAGCACTCCGTTGAGCCTCCGGCGGCGCGTGTACGAACGTCATGTTTGACACCTTCGCTTTAATCCCTTGGGCTTATGTCCCCGATAGCCGTGATGGTCGCATTGGTCACATCGTTTGTGCACACATCACCTTTGACTTCATTGTCTTAGCTCATTGTTCGTGCATCTGAGCTTCGACCATGGCGGGGAGACCTCTTCGCTGCTCCTTCACATCGTTACCCAACTGTGGTAATGGTTACCGCAGTCTGGTAACCACTAAACCAATGCATCTCTGGAAGGGCTTACCGTTTCTTCTCAGACTTGACTGATGCTTTTCTATCTCTCGCCTATCTCCTGGCCGTTTCGCTTAAACTTCCGCCTTCCTTATCAGTTTTTATCATATACGTGCAGATTATCACTTTTGAACTTGTCACGGAATCGCCGGTATTGTAACGCGGAAGAGATATTTTGAAGGCCTCAGTAGGGCCGTGATCTGTGAAGCGTAAGCCAGTAGAGGGATTGGCTCGCAGCTGTTGCCGATCTTTACCCAGCTCGGCTCTTTCTTCTCTGTATCCGCTACCCGATCACACATCAGGAGGCAAGGAATCACGTGGTTGGGGAAGAGTAGAAAAGAGGCTGCGAACCTGGCAATCTGATCACGTTCACCCTATCAATCGTTTCCATGATTCTAGTTGACGACATGTTCGTGGCGTATTCCCATCAGCACTTTTCAACGTCAGCCTTTCTATCTACGGAAAAGTGAAATTTCTTGCTGGCCAAGGCTTTTCCTCCTTAAAATTCAACTGGTTGAAAATCGGGGGATATGAAGCTGCTCATTGAGAATGCCCGAATTCTGACACCTACTGGCGCTTTGAGGTCCACCAGACTGACGCGCAAAGCCGGGGATGTTTTGCAGTACGGGAAGCAACAGGTCAAGGTCAGAGGGCGTTACGGTGCGCACTCGGTAGCGAAGAACCCATTTCAATGGCTCTTGTTGTCCGTTTGTAAGGTAGTTGTTGACGAACAACTAGCCTGGTACCGATGCCACACAGGACAAGCAAAGTTGCCCTCTTATAGCCAACATTCCACCCAGGCTACCCACCCAGGCTTCGTTTTTTTTTTTTTTTGTTTTTTTTATTTTTTTTTTTTTTTTTTTTTTCATTCTCCACGAGTGTACCATTTTCCCATGGGATTCCTTTTGACGCCTGTTTCATTCCAACATTCCCCCAGGTTACCTACCCGGGCTTCATTCTTTTAGACAGCTCACAGACATTTCCCTAGCAGCTTCGTTTAGCGCCGTTTTTTCTTAGTCTGGCCCATCAGCTAAGTTGTCGTTACAAATTCCTGCTTTTCCGCTGCCGGGTTTCCGGTGATCCAATCCCTGACACCCGAATAACAGGGTAATCTAACCGTCATCTTCATACCCAGAGACCACATCTAAATGAGAAGTTGTTATGCTAGCCATCAAAAATATGAAGTTGTTATCAGCTGATCTATCAATCGTTCGTAGTATTCTACTGGGTGGCCATGTGCATGGCGTAGACCAAGAAAACGTCAACTAACGTGATTTTTCGTCCAAAACCTTTCGCCCTTGCTTTCCATTGTTTTCCTTGGAAGTCCAAAGGAGGCATTAGTCATCTGAGAAGTCATTGTTCCCATCGTTAGCATAGCTGCCGTCGAAAATTAGTCATGTACCAACTGTTTGAATAGATCTTCACTTCGCATGCATTTAAATTAGTTACATTAGTTTGTCATTCAGGGATGCTCCTCTCCGCTTTGGTGCTGCTCCCATTGGCAGTTGCCACCCTCATACCCAGGGATATTCTTTTCTCGGATCCGAAATACTCGTCGGTATCGCTTAGCCCGGATGGAAGGTAAGCCTTATGAGCCCTCTTGGAAATCGTTCCGAAGTTTTCAAGTTGCGGAAAATGGAAGAATTGTCCGATTTTCAGATTTTTCGCCTACATAGCACCGGATGACAACAAAGTGAAGAATGTGTTTGTGAAATGTACGAACTGTAAACACACTCGCCAAGTGACTTTTGAGAGGAGCAGCGATGTTTTGAGTGAGTTTTCCCACAGTTTTTTTGAATCGCGTTTGAATTGGCATTATAGAGATGGTTGGAGGGATAGGAGGCTTTCAATATCAATGGGTAAGAGGTTAGGTAACCATTTTCACCGGTTATACTTTGGCTAGGGAGTTGGTAGACTAGTTTATCACACGAAGCCTAGCCCATGTAAGGGACAAACCGAGTTCCACGAAGCGAGGACGCCCATCCAGCCTGGGCCAACCAGCCCATATTGCTCAATAGGCTCCCAGTTCCCCCTGTATCAAAGTTGTAGCTACCCGCGACGCGGGTTATAGTCTTGTTGCAGCTCATAGCCAGACCGGTAACAATAGCATCTGGCCATCCTTCGTGCCCGTGAACTGGGGTTCGTGTCCCGAGCAGCTACCGGGGTTCAGGGTTATCATAGGGCGATGGTATCCCTGAAGTTCCAAGGCTCTCCGAGTTTATATGGCAAGCAATAATCAGGTGATGCTTTTCTCTCCGGGGTTCGTTTTTTATAAATTTTTTATCATAGAGGGATAACCAGTATGGTATTGTTACTGTTAAGGTTACTCATGGACCGGCGTGGAAAACGTGATCATCTATTCACAAGACAACGATGGCGATGAGAACACGATGCTCTTCAAGAAGAACATTTCAGACGTTAGTTCTTAGAGCATGGCTATTTTCTTTTAAGCATGCCTAGTACCATACCATATTGTTAGCCTAGCATTTCATTGGGCATGGGAATAAACAGATAATTCAACAAATAAATAAATTAAAAGACAGATAAATAAGTAAACAAACATAATGTGAGCAGTTTTCAGGCCGAAATTGGTGCGAATCCTGAGAAAAGAACAGTGATCTCTGATCGGAAAGGAGTGAAAGCCATCATCAGCGGCAACAATCACAAAGATTCTCGAGTTTTGATTGGGCTCAACGACGAGAATCCAGCGTAAGTTTTTAGTCTATGGATTACGAGGATAGCTATTACCTTGCGAATCTTCTGGCAGTTTGTTTATTCGCGGGATCCCGTACTAGTTGCTGTAGGGGGGGGGGCGCAAAGTCCTGACAAGAGAGACAAATCATCAAATCTGCGGAAAGGGTCACAAAGCTCCACGGCCGACCTCTCTGATGTTTCATGGTGACTGAAAGTTACTGAAGCATTTGTCCTCAATAGCGTGAATTGTGGATGGAGAGATTTGACAGTAGAGGAGAGGTGGGGGGGGGGGTTAGGGTTAGGGCAGCCGTTGAATTCTGGCCGTTTTTTGGGAACCCGTGGTGTTGCTGGAGCAGGCATTGTTAGAATGAAATGGTTATTACTCATGTCCGGAAAACAAGGCAAGCAAAGGGCTAGAAGAATGTCCGGAAAACATGAGTCCTGGCTCGAGTCCCGACTGGGGCAAAATGTTTATTACGTAACCTGTGATATCACTTATAATGTTTAGCTACCACAATATCTATTCGTTCGACTTGTTGACCGACTCGATGACGCTGATCATGAAGAACAGCCGATTCCCAGTGGTGGTCGTCGACAACGACCTGAACATTCGTCTGGCGGGCGAGCAGCAGCAGGATGGATCACTGATGTACTTCAAGTGGGTGATTTAACGAGTTTTTATTATCATCAGGTGCTCTAACAGGGAAAACGTAGGTGTTGTGAGAGAAACGACCCTTCAAGATCCACGGATTCTTCGAGCTTTTGTTTTCTGCAATAATATGGGACGCTGTGGGATCGTGTGAAGCTGTCTGGACTGTTGGGACGATGAAAGCCCAAGCAATCAAACACTTTTCAGGCTTTTCCTAAGCCCGGTATTGCTGACTTCCGATGAAAAAGAATGGGAGCACTATTTGCTGGTTCAACCAGACGACATGGCAATCACATCGTAAGTCTGGCTTGAAAGGATCAAAAAGGTCTACAGGACTTGGAAAATAGCTCTTTCAGGCCTGTCGCTTTCGATAAGACCAATCAGAACATGTACTGGCTGTGGGGCGAACAGAGCGATCTTGGTGAGTTTTAACTTAAATTTGGCTTACCAAAAGACTTAGGCTGCGATCATACTTGGCGTTAGGCGGACACCGTTTACCATCGTACAAGTAGGAACGTGTTAAAGGGCTGAGCGTAATCAATAGAGCGAATTTCCGCAGGCTACGCGTTACGAGGCCGTTCAGTTGGCGCCAACTTTGTGCCTCCAAAACTTGCCTCTCCCACTCTGCGTCTCTTTAGCACGAACACTATCTCAGAGCGTGGCTGACGAGTGACGTCATTCGTCGAGTATGACCGTAGCCTAAAATTTGATATAGAATTCCTGCAAACTTTTAGGACCATCTGTCTTTCAATTTTTCAAATGTGATTTTCGAATCATACCTTGAAATCTAATCCAAATTTTAAATTACTACCCAAAAGTTATTGTTGTTACAACAATAATATCTATGTGGTTAAGAGGGATAATCTAAGCATATTAGGCTTCGCAAAAAGATTTACGATTACAAACTTGGCCATAGTAGCGACCAACCCACAATGTAATGTATGGAAATAGGGGGCTGCTACGCAGTGACATATGAGCATTTCTTCTGTTTTTTATTCTGAAATTATGTTTTTTAGGATCATTGGTGATGTTCCCATTTGACGCAGTCGATCAAAAGGAAGTGCTCTACACGGCCACACGTGCCCAAATCGGTACCATTATGATCCATCCAACTGACAAGACACTTTTGGCCGTTACTGAGGTAAACGAATAACCAGAGCCATTTTTGAGCTCTACTGAAAGCTGGAAACTGATTTTTTATTTCTAGGTTTACCACAAACCAGAGCTATTCGTCGCCAATGACACGGTCATGGACGATCTGCAGTACCTGGTAAACCTGCGGCCATTCG